CACAATTAGGGTATCACACAGCAGTAACACAAGCAGCAAAATGAAAGTAACTTTCAACTGACACAATTTTTTTTTTTTAGCTGAGCCATCCTGCCACCTGTTGGCAGCTCAGTGGCTGCTCAGCTCGGGCCGGGACTCGAACCGCTGTTACTCAGAGTCAAACTCTTGAGCGAGCTCTTAACCAACTGAGCCACTCAGCTGGCCCTTCTACTGACACAATTTTAACCTATAAAATGCAATCCATTCATGATGCTGCTCAAAAGAGGGCAGTTTCTATGGAATATCAAAAAGTGGTCTTGACTACAAAAAAGATGGCTCCAATAAGTTATGTTACTTGTTGTCTAATATGAAGAAGTGGGAAGGCATTAATATCTGCATATTTCTTATTCTGAGCAGGCATTTAGGTACACATTTTTTTCCCTACCTTTACCAACAAGATACGGTGAACTAATGCTTCAGCATACCACAAACAAGGGAAAAGTAAAACCTACACCTAGGACAGAATATACTCACTGGTATGGGTGGCTCCAGATAATGACCAGATGGAAGGGGAGCCCAGAAGCTGGTCAGTAAGGGTGGCATGACGCTCAATGACCAGTGAAACACAAACCCTTTTTTGCCCCAAAAGGTCAATTAATCGTTGTCCAATAAAGGAGTTGGTCTCAACTCTCTCTCTTTAAAGAGGCTGAGCCTACCAATTATAATAAACCTTACTTATTTTTATAGATTTCTAGCAAGAAATAACATATTCTTAATAATGCCAGGGAACCGAGTCAATACATCGTAATGATGATACAACTGCTTGTGTACTTACTGTTATGCAAAAACTTAACACCTTTTGTGTCAGAAAGGCAGGTCTCTAAAATCAAAATTTCTATAAAGACAGTTATTTAAAAGCATTACGACACCCCTTCCCCCAATTTCCCAATAAAAATCATAAAAGCATTACGACATAAGACTAACCATTTTTATCAAAAAAACCACTGACCCAGCTGTGAATGACCTTGGAGACACACAAGGGCCTTTTCCTGGTCAAGAGTCAGCTGTTTCACACCCAGACCTGAACTGCTGAAGAAAATTCAGACAACCACACAAATGATTAGTGTCTATCTAAACTGGATGTGCGAGTCAGGGTTCTCCAGAGAAACAGAACCAAAACAATGTGTCTATTTAAAGACACTTATTTTAAGGGATGGTGATTACCGAGGCTGGCACTTCCCAAATATTTAGGCTGAGTCATCAACCTGGAGACTCAGAGAAGAGCCAATATTACAGTTCACCTGAAGGCAGACTGCTGGCAGAATTTCATCTTGCCCACAGGGAGGTCATTGTTCCTTCCATTTGGACCTTAACCTGATTGGATGAGACCCACCCACTGCATAGAGGACAATCTGCTTTCCACTCTACTGATTTACATATTAATCTCATTCAGGAAACATCCTATAGAAGCATCCAGAATAATTTCATCATGTATCTGGACACTGTGACCTAGCCACGTGGATACATCAAGTTAACCCTCACAGTGGGTCTTCAATTTTATTGGGCAATCCTCTAACTCTTCCCAGTCTGACTTTGTTTGCATTCTTCAGAGAGGCAGTAATAATATCTTTGTTCCACCTTATTCTCTGTCACCCTTTTTTCCACATTTCATGTTTCTGAAACTTTAAATCTGTCTTCTATGTACATATAGTGTCATGTGATCGTGGTTTCCCTTTGTGTTGTATTATTCTGATGAACTTGTACAATGATGTGATTCATGCCATCTTAGAATCAAGAAAAAATGGCAATCCCCATTAACACCATTAATTGCTTCATTGTGTCAGGCATCACACTACCTGCCTCACGTGCCTGCCCTGAGGTAGGAGAGAGACGAGCATGTAGCTTTGAGAGGTGAAGAAGGGAGACGGGCAGATGGTGACCTGGTTTTTGATCTCGGGCTTATTGATTCCAAAGCCCATGGTCTCAAGCTCTAGACACCACCCCCTCCAAACTGTGTAAAATCTATTACAGAGAAAGCTGGTGAGGTTGAGTCCCTGTCCAAAAGGTGCTGCCATCTCTTCTGTGGAAGATAAACAGTCTGCCCCAGAGGTTTCAGGTGAGAGACGTCAGCATCGGTGTCATAAGGAGGAACCCAGAGTCTGTGCTCTGGCTTCAGGACTGACAACCAATCATGGCCCCTTGGGTTCCTCATTTAACCTCCCAGGGCCACTGTTTTCTGATCTGGAAATGGAAATAATAGCCTCACCTGTCCGTAAAGGTCATCTTATCGCATAGGCTTTGACTTCATGACATGTGGGAAGGTCCCTGAGGACGGGAAGCAGCCGTAGACAGTACGAGATGATGACCCTGGCTGAGTTCCAATAGAACTTTACAGAAAGAGTCGGAGAACCCACATCGTCCATGCGCCATAGCTTCCTGACCCCAGACCAGAAATAAGTCAGGTCTGGGACACTTTGGAGGCAGAGCAAAAGGCCAGCAGTGCCAGTGTGGGAATGACTCTATGGGTGTGGGGCAAGGAGGCCGTGTGTGTCACAGCTCGGAGCTCAGATAGATAAGGGCCTCTCTGG